GCTCACTGACCGACATATGGATGGATGGAGGTGGCTCTTGGCTTGCCATGATCAGTGGAGTGCATGTGTACAGTGTGTGTGCAGCATAGAGTAATGTATCCACATGTCACAAGTATGAATGCTGACAAGCTGACTGGTTTTGTCTGTGAGCCAGTAGCCAAGCTGTGTTGTCTCCTCCCCTTCTGCTCCCTAACAGTTAGACCAGGTCTCCTTCTCTACAGCCGTTACCCCATCCAGATCTTACGCCTATTTTCCCCATATGTTAACTGTTCATTCTATCATTACCCTAAAATAGTAACTATATATATAAATATCATAATGTAGAGTGAAACATGATATCTACTTGTATAATGTTGAAGACTGGTAGATTAAGAGTAAAAACTGCTTTGTTTAAAAAAAGGAATCTTTGAATTATAAAGCTGAGCTGTATGAAAATACATATTCGGGGGAAAAAGACGTTATGCTGTAAAGATAACGATCTCTGGCACAAAGCTGTTAGAAAACAATATAATAGATTAATGTTAAACCATGACTCATGCCATCATAATCCTATATTTTACACATCTTTCAAAACGCTGAGAAATATGGAAACATAAAAAAAAATCATTGTTGTCAGTTAATGTCGATATTTGGTTTGTTCCCCAAAGTAAAGCTATTAAAGTGGAGAGGTCTCTCGCGTCTTTTGATGCTTGTAACTCGTTACGTTGCTGCCTTGTGTTATCATTCACACTCTGCTTGGTGCATGGCAATGTTAAACAGGTTGTCCTTTCCCCATGTTGTGTTAATTAACAATAAAAGACCCAGGAGATGGGGTGGTGATGTGCAGGGAAGATGGCTCAAGCTGGCACCACTGCTCCTCCCCCCATTTCATAACACTTTTCTTTTGCTGTTCTCCGTTGGAGAGAATTACATGGCTTTTCCTTTATCCCTTCCACATCCACACGCCCTCCCCTGTCTCTCCTTTGTTTTGTTTTTTTTAATCCACCCAGCAGCTTTTGCACGCACTACAGCCTCACTGTTAGCATAGCCACCCTTTTTTTTTTTTATCTGACACACATGGCTGCCCTGCTGACTTTGATCCTTAGATCTCAGTATCAAGGGGCCATTCACTCACTTGCCTGGGGAGGTGACAGAAATGTCTGTGTTTTCCTTCTGTGGGGTGAGAGAGGCCGGCTGGAAAAATGGTGTGAGGTGCAATAAGTGGAGAGTGAGAGATGACAGAGCCTGTGATCCAGTATTTCACCCTTTGAGATTTTGGGCTGGCTTCTGTGTTTGGTCATTCTATCACATGCGACATGAATCTAATTTCTTTGCGTCTTTGTTGTTGTCTGCATGCCTGTAATCCCCTGGCCTCTATCACTGGCCATGGTGATAAAACTATTGATGTTGCCACTCATTTGTTTGCTCATCCATTCGGTCATTTAGATCCAGGGCTGTAATTTAACAAATCAATAGCAAGCTGATGGAACTATGCTAAACTGGCTGCCATCCTCTGAATTTGGAGTGACACCACTTACTCCTTTTGTCTTATTTTTCCAAGTAGCTACAGCCTTCTCAGCCTTTCTCCCTCACATATGCGTATTATTCTATTGCAGCATCTACATTTTGCTTGCAAATTGTAGTAAAGGTAATAAATCATATAAGCTGTACTTTTTAGACCAAACAGCATCAAGACCATTAGGACCATGAGACTTTTTCTTTCAGCATACAGCTTGCTTTTTTATTACAGCTTAACTGTAGTTGCAGTTGTTGTCTTAGTTAACATCTTTTTACAAAATCACTGTTGCTGTTCCTTCCTATTGATTCATCTATTGTGGCAGGATGTGACACTGATGGGAAAGCCTGTGGGTCGAAGTGTGCCAATCAGCTCTTTCACTAACAAGCTCCTGTTCTGATGTCTTCTGCTAATGATGTCCACTTCACAATAATAACCACACTGCTTTACATTCGACCCCTTTTTTCTGGTGAGGCGTCTTTTTTCCTGCCTTGCAGACCCGTTTTGTTATCGAGAAATTGACCAGAAATTGCTGTAATTTGAACTGCCAAACAAAAAAAGAACACAAGACAAGATAAAAAGAGTGTCTTCATCTAACCTCTGTTTAGGTGCACGTGTGCATCTTGGTGAACAATGTCCAAGTGCCTGCTAATAAAGGCCTAATGAAGTCCCATGGAGAAATGGCAACTGGAGAGAATTGTCCACACTCACAGATGTGAAATTTAATGAGAGACTGTGGCATGCACAGGAGCCAGGCCAAGATGGGGAATGGCCACCTGGTATTGTTTATTACTAGCATGAAGTTACAGAGTGTGTATTTGAGTGAGTGGGCAGTTAGTGGCTGTGTGGATAAATGCAGAAGCCGTTGGTGTTCCTCCTTTGTATGTGTTTCATGCATTAGGTATGCATGAATCCACTGCATGAACAGAACACATACTGTGTGACCCCTTTTCCAGAAGAAAGCAAATGAGGAATAACCGTATTTTTCCAGTCACCTTTTGATAACTGTAGGATACTTAAAGAAAAAAGGCATTACTAGAAAGAGCAAAGGTTGCTTCGCAGATTTATAATAATATGTTAATCAACACCAAATCTTGCAATAAGCAGACTGTTGTTCAGTTAAGTCTTCACATTAAGCCTCATTTCTCTTTTTTTTCAATTAACTAAAAGGAGGTGTTAAAAGAAGCTTAGGATGTCGGCCCTGTAGGATTTCAACAGCTCATCTCGAGTCCTGGTTAGCATTAGTCTCCTTGCAGGGAGCCTACTGCCAGCTAGCGAGCTAGCCACCATGGGCTCATTCTTAACAACGCACCTTAGCCTCAGGTGAGAAAGTGGCATAGTGCAGTGCTGCTGATAGCACTCATTAGTGTCTGGATTAACCCTGATTAGCCTAGCTTTTTCTCATGCTGCTTCTTCATACCAGTGGTAATTATCCCTTTATACCCTTTTCAGACTCAGACATGTGCCTAGTTTTTCTAATATATTTTATATAGCTTTTTATTCTCTTGTGGGTTTTTTTTGTTTTTGTTAGGCCCAGCTTGAATAATAAAACGCTGCACCGCATTTTCTTTGGAGAGACTGAATGTATTTAAGCAGTTTTTTAATTGTGTTTTTGCCAGATACAAAGTTATTTGCCTGAAAAATATGAATTGTGTGTAAAGGTATACCACAATCACAGACTGAGCAGAGACCACTAACAAAACCTGTCTTGAAATTAAAGCATTGTGAGTATATAAGTCAATAAGACATGGAGATTTGTGCATATTACTTATTGAACAAACAGCTTTGGAGAATTTAATGAGAACATGGTTAGCTGGCGGATCACAGTTTTGACTCCATTCCACACGAGTGTTCATAAAGCCAAGCCACGCTGAGTATGACATTAAAGCAATGTGAAGGCTGTCACAGTCAAATGACATAGTGAAATTGATTTTGATGAGATTGAGAGAGGAGCCTTTAACTCGCGCTGTTCTTTCATCTTCATCCTTGTCAGTCAAAGTTAGATGCTGAAGGTGGAAGGGAAGATGGGCAAGAACTGTGGAAGGGTGAGCTGATGGCCGAGAGGAGACCAGGAGGACAGGGTGCTGAAGAGCAGTGGTGGATTCTCTCGAAGCGGGTTGCATGCTGATTTTCAGTGGCAGCTGTACATGCTGACAAAGACCTCTGGAGATGGTGATACAAATCCAGAGTGATCAGCTGGATTTTGGTGAAATTTTGCTTTGTACAGTGTACATGTCACCTAGTAGCTCTGTACACAAAATTAAACAAAAGGGACTTTAGTTGTCTCAGCTGTCTGTTTCTTCTGGACACAGTAGTGTTTATATTTACAGTACAGTCAATAACTCGAGTGTAAAGAAGCCTCTTGTGGGCAATGTTCATGTACCTGAGTGCACATTTTGACCCATATTGACCTATGCTTTGTGTTGTTGACTGTGGGTAAGAGCCAATCCGTGGACAGTGTTCAAATGTGGAATTCCTCACATTTCTTATCGAAACAAACCGACTTGTGTTCACGTCAGGAAAACCAATGGATTATGAAATGTTACAGTGTTTTCAAGGCTTGTTTTGGAAGAGAATGTGTAAGATAAGGCAAATGCAACCTGTTTTCCATCTGTTTTTGAAGCAAACATGAGATAGCAGTTATTACTGGCTGGGAAGCTAACCAGCTCAGTCTGATCAAAGCTTATCTTTGTCCGTTCTCTCACTAGAAAGTAACAGTCAGGTCCTTTCCTTAGTTTACTTATTCCAAAAAGTTGTGTGTGTAAAATAGAAAAGAATGTAATGATTTACAAATCGCATAAACCCATTTTTATTCACAATATAAAAAACATATCAGATGGTTCAAGAACCAGCAGAAAGAACCAATACTGAAAATCACTATTGGATGCTTGTGATCTTTGGGCACTCAGATGACACTGCATTAAAAGCAGATGTGATTCTGTCATGGAAATCACTAAATTGGCTCTTGAACACTTGGAGACAAAGCTTAAAACAGACTGAAGCAAAGTGGAAAGAAGTTCTGTGTCAACAAGCAATATTTCAAAACTATTTTTGGAAAAAAATTGACTCTGACAATTCGGTTGCCTATGGAATTGTCGGCTGAGACATCTGGAAAAGCACCATTAGTGCTCAAATGCTGAAAAGACTATGCCAAAAGATGTATTTGCATCTATTACAGCAGCTTGACTTCATAGTAGAAGACTCCAGGTGCTAAACTGTTTTGCCTGCAGTTGGTTTGTACAACTGTTACAGACTGGTGGAAACCCTTTCAGCAGTGCCTCATCAGGGGATGTTTTTGGGGTTATTGAGTGCTTTGCACCTAAACCAAAGTACTACACTACTTTGGTACTAAGGTTTAAAAAAGAGAAAGACGGGAATATTTATTTTTTAATAGGCCCGATTATATTCTTGGTGTGGAGTCTTTTTAGGAATGTAGCAACATTGATGACGCAGTAATCAAAACTCTTTTTACTAATTTCTTCTTCCTTCTTTTTCTTTCTTACAGGTGGAGCGAGAAATAGCTATTCTGAAACTCATAGAACACCCACATGTTTTAAAGCTACACGATGTCTACGAAAATAAAAAATACTTGTAAGTATCACCAGCTGATTTTGGTCCACATTTGATGTGTGTGAAATATACAAAATCATAATTGTAATGCAAACACAATAAAAGAAGAAGGAAATTTGTGTAGCAACTTTTGTGACTATGAGATATTCTTACAGTTAGCTGCTGTTTTGGACACCAGAACAGTTGTTAAAATGCCACAAATCATTGTGGTGGTCTGCAGAGCAGTTGTGATTGGTGTATTATGATTGCAGGCCAACAACTACAGCCTTAGAGGGATAGATGCTCCATTAGTATTGGCATGAAGCATTTAATTTAGTTGTGCACGCTAGGGGACTGCTAATAGGGCGAGGAAGCCTTCGTAATGTAAACACCATGACGTGCTTATCAGAGGCAACACCATGGCATTAAGAAACATTAGCCACGAAGAGCCTGCTGCAGCAGCTGCACAAACACTGCACGCACACTCATGCAGACACTCATACATTTATCAGCTTGCTTTAGCAGTGGTGAGTGACAGCCCCATCAGTTGTTCATAGTAGACCTCTTGATCTATAGTGGACTGTTTGCCAAATAAATTCAATTAGTTTTCATTTTTAGCTTACAAAGCAAATAGGATTGGACATGCAGTGCTGTACATGTCGTCTTTTAAGATGATAGGAACTGCAAAATATTATGATTCATCCTATAATTGGATTATTAAAATCACATTTTGTGCACATTGCTTCATGACTTCTGACAGACGGTCACTAGTAGCGTCACAAAAGACAAATTGATTTACATTTGCACCACGAGTGACTTGAATACACTCTGAGCTTTGCACAAGTGATGTAATTTTTCTCTTAATATGTTTCTGATTCTTAGTGCGATATCTCCACCTGAAAGCCAGTAATTGATAGACATACAGCATGTTTGCAGCTTGCAGGCCCAGAGCTTGAAATACTTATTATTCTGCTGGCACAAGCTGTATAAACTGGTGTTGCGGGTGTGTACAAGAGGTGATGGAGAATTTAAAGGAGCCTGAGAGGAATTTTGGTAAAAGAACAAACTATATCAGAGAAATTCTTCAAGTAGCCTCAACTAGGAAATGCAAAATTTCTTACAAATCAGATAGTGTATGATTTTTTTTTTATTTTATTTTATTTTTTTAGCCTAAGATGTATTGATCTTATTAAGTTTGTTGTTGTGAATCCTTAAGCAATCAATCAAGGAGTGCAAGATCTACTGTTGTTGTAAGAAATTTACATACACTTATCATGGGCATGAATGTCATGGTAATATCATTTTCAGTGATTTCTTTGAGCTGTTGTGGAATAATTGCACAGCATAGATTTTTAATGACTTTAAAAAAACAAGAATTTGTTCCACAAGTTAGAAAATATTTATTCCCTCCACACGGGGACAAAATTATAAATACAGGTCAAATATTTGCATACACCCCCACTAAGGTTTGGTTAAAAGGCCCTTAGCAAATCACACCTTAATCAGATGTTTTTAGTAGTCATCAACAAGCTTGTAGCATAATTCTGGCTGGATATTTGACCACTCTTGTAGATAGAATTGGTAGAGTTCATTTAAAGTGCTTGGTTTCCTGGCACAGACCTGCCTTTTAAGAACAGTCCATAAATTTTCAATGAAGTTGAAGTCTGGGCTTTGAGAAAGCTATTCCAGAAGCTTAACGCTAGCTTGCTTTATTCATTCCAAAACCAGTTTTGATGTGTCTTTGAGTTTCCACCATCTAGCTCTCTTGCTAATTTATTTATAAGGTAAAAACCAAAAAACCCAACTTATATTGACCAAAGTGCTGTACCACATATTTGATAGAAGTAAATAGGCAAAGAGAACAGAAATAAGTAAACGTATGCTAGCAGGTGCTAAACATATACAGTCATGGCTGAAAAAAAGCATAGGCGACACAATGAGTAAATCAGACAAACTCAAATTCCTAATAAGTTTAGTTTTAGTTTTAAAGTACTCAGTGGAAGGAGCAGACTTCACTGTGAGGGAAATGCTGTTCTACATTTCTAAGACTCCTATGATTTAAAATCCAGAGTAGCAGACAGTCAGAAGCATGCGATCAGCTGACTGGAGGAAACAAGAAGTCAAGTAGCTGTGTAAGAGGTTGGACATGTAAAAAGGAGGCAGGTCAAGAAGAGATTTACAGACAACTTTACAGAGCAAGATCAGAGGATCTTGAAATCACTTCTAAACTTCACTGGCAATAAGTGGAGAATAGCTTAAACAGATTAATATGATTTCTTTTTGAGGTGCCTTTGAGCAGCCTAGCAGCAGTATTTTGGGCTGAGCTGAATCAGAGAAGGAAAAAGCTATTTTTAACCACTGAGTTAATTTGCTTATCTTAAAGCCAGATTCAAATATCACACCAAGATTTCTGACCAAAGAAGAAGTTGTAAGAACAATTTGGGACCTAAGACGGAACCCTGCGGTACCCCACAATAAAGTGTAGCTGTGGAAGAAGAATTGTTTCCAAAGCTGACACAGAATGTTCTATTTTTGAACCAGTGTAGTGCCAGCACAGAAGTGCAGGCATTGTAGGGGATGTTGTAAGCAATGGCATCACTGAGATTAAAGAGGACAAGGAACAGGTATTTTCTTGATATGAAGCTGAAAAAATTCCTTAATTTTTCTATCAATTTTGAGCAATCTACAAGTATCACTCATAGCAAAACAGCTCCATAACATGATGATTCCACTACCATGCTTGACAGCTGATATAGTTTTGTTAGGTTTGAAGGCCCCTCCTTTACTCCTCTAAACATACTGCTTGTCATTGTGGTCAAACAGCTCGTTTTTTGTTTTGTTTGACAATAAAATTTAGATTTAGAACTTTTATATAGTTCTAGAACTTTAGAACTTTAGAATTGGAGAAGCTTCTTGGATAAGAGCTAAAACATCTTCAAGAAACTTCAAGAAAAAGTTCAGTCACTTTCTTTCCAAGCTCCTTAGACTAACGTGACCTAGATGACTGAGAACCTACACAGCCATATCTGACAATAAATCTTTTTTCTTGAAGACATTTTGCTTATACATGTGGGCAGCTGCTAATATTGGTCGAGCCCAGAGGTGTGGATTTTGGGACAGGGGCTTTTATCTTGGTTAGCACCCTCACAGTCTATGGCTATGTAAAACTCTGTTCACCGTGTGACACTGTTGTTTCCGGTTCTTGGCAGGCTTGAGCCTTGGGGGTTCCTCGGTTGTTTCTGAACATCCTAACCAGTTTCCTCTCATCTGAGGTTGTCAGTTTAGGGCTTCCAGACAAGCACAAGTTATTCAGTTGTGACACTTCTGAATAACTTGTACTTTCATACAATTGTTTGAACTGTTGATCTTGGAATCTACAGTTGTTTCCAAATAGCTCCAAGAGACCTTCCCAACTTGTGTAAGTCTACAGTTCTTTTGGTCTTCGCTGAAAGCTTCTGACCACAACTGTATGTCTATAAGAGTTAATAGTAGTAGTAGAATTTTCCTAAACCTTGAATACTTTAGCTTAGATATAATATTAAATCTGAAAGGGAAATCCTGATTCTTGCATCATAATAAAGCTATTTTTTCAGAGACAAATACAAATTTAAAACAGAATAATCGGAGGAATTACAGCAGTAAAAAAATGTATCTTTTTTAGGGTAAACTCAGTGGAGCATCCTGCCTGAACGCCAGTATTTTAAGTCACAGACCAGAAAACTTACCTCACAGAGAAATTAAATTTGTAGCCGTCCTTATTCTGCATGCAAAATGTATGTGTTTTTGTAATTTGTGTTCACTCACTTGTGTTTGGACTGGTTGTTATTTTTGCCAAAGCTGCCGAGGCTTTTCCAACAAAGGTTTTGCCTTATCAGACTGAGGGCTGTTTAATGAGCACATACGCTGTCACTAGTTACAGTTTGAGACGCCATATGTTAATACAATGAAAGAGACCCATGTGCACCCTAATATCCAGAAGGGGAGAGACAGAATATTTTACTATCAGTCTGGATTTCACTTTGTCCTAGTGAAGATGGAGTGAGTTTGAGTACAGGATATATGAGTAGTTGAGATCGGAGCAGGGCCAGGGCACTCCTTGCTTTCAATCCACAGACGCAGCTGCAGGCATGGGTCAGTGAAGATTCATCTCCTCCCTCTCCCCTTGGAGCTGCAGAGCATGGCCACACAGTCAGGATGACAGAATGCTTGGCCACACAGACTCAAAGGCCACCTGACGAAGGGCCGCATGAAATGATGAAGTGATGGCAAGGAGGGTGTGTGTGTGTGTATGTGTGTGCTATGAAACTAAGTAGATGGACAATAGATCGCCAAAGAATTATAAAAAAGATTAATCAGCATGATATAGTTTTTCAAAGATAAAGATTTGAAAGCTTGTTAGTCTTTAATCTATGTGCTTCGAGGGAACTATCATCCTGCCATTGCGCCATTTCTCAGAAACCTTAGAGGTCCAAGGTTTTTCTTTTCTTTAGGGCTTTGTAGAGAGGGCAGGTATTTGTTCTGGCAGGTATTTTTCTTCTTTCTGGGTGCATGTATGAGAGTTTTTTCTCATGTACTCTCTTGATTTCGTTCCTATTTCTTTGTCTCCTCTCTGTTTCTCAGGTACCTCGTGCTAGAACACGTGTCTGGTGGTGAACTGTTCGACTACTTGGTGAAGAAAGGCAGGTTAACACCTAAAGAGGCCAGGAAATTTTTCAGACAAATCATGTCTGCCTTGGATTTTTGCCACAGTCATTCCATATGGTAAGTGACATCCTCATGAAAAACATCCTGTCATAGCTGCTGCTACTGTGGAGGGTGTAAAGGGTTGGATTGCACTTATGGAACAGGAGCTAATAAAGATACTGAGTGAAACAGTCCAATCTTTTTTTTCCATTGATACTCAGCAGTGTTTTTGACATTTGGAAAACAAATATAGTTTTGACATAAATAAAGGAAACTCATATTCTCAAATATACATTGATAAAATAAATGCTTCAAGATTTGAGATGTAAGAAAAAATATTGAATTTAAAATTGTAATAAGATTAGCTGTCCTCTGCATACATACAAATAGGACTGTAATACAAGAACTTTGTGAAAACCACAGACTAGATGTAATATTTGAGATACTTGGAGTTAAACCCATAAGAGGTACATTCATTATGTGTAATCCATAAAAAACATCAGTTACATTTAAAAAATGTGTAAAACTATCATACCCAGGAGGCGTAACAAAGTCAATTTGGTTGTCATACAACATTGAACAAATAATGAGTTCCCCAGTAATGACTTCTGGAAAGATGCAGACTTTTCCTAAAGTGAATCTATAATGTAAATTTCAGTCAGTTTATTCAGATCTTTGGAGAGCTGTTTAGTTTTCATACCAATCATTCATTATGGAGATTACAGAATGGAAAAAAACCCTTAATATTGCTTATTTTGCAACATGTTTGTGAGTATCGCTGACATGTGGCAAAGAGAATCTCAGACACGTATCTGAATCTATATGCATTCTTTTCAAACAAAATCAAAAGGAAATATGAGTTTGTTTATCGTGAAGCAGATAAGCCATGACAAATCAGTGAAAAAGATGTGGTGATAACTTGAAAAGTTGAAAATATGATTCAGTGAGAAGCAGAAGGGACATTTTTTTCTCAGTAACATGATAAATTAGGCCTGTGCAAAGGTCTCAGATCACTTTTCAGGTGTCTCTATTTATTTCTGCAAACCTGCGAGGTTAGGCAGAGTGAAGGCAAGAGTAGAAACCCTCTTATCAGGAAGGAGGACAAACAGACATACACAAACTGTGGAATAGTAAAAGCACATCCTGTGGAAGAATAAACGTCAGAACTGGATGACCGTACCTGCTGTAGTGTGTGTGCTCATTTCTCTTCTTCTTGATATGAAATGTTTTCATAGTGAACCCATCTATATTTTATATTCTGTGTCTTTTGGAAGATTATTTTTGCATGACTGTAAACCTGTTCTAAACATAATTTCCATAACATGCTCCAACGTGACACATTTTGTTTGACTTCGGGGGGTAATTTAACTGTTTACCAGCTCATAGGCTAGAGGCAATCATATAGACCTCAGAAGTCAAACATGTCAGCAGGAGACTGATTTAGGAACCTCGTTTGTTTGTATGTGTTTGTTTCTTGCTTTCTATGTGTGTGTGTATATAGGGTGTGTCGTGTGGAGATTATACGTAGTGAACATTTGTTTTCCTAAACAAGGCAGTGTGTTTGTTTCTGTGTTTCAGAGTGTATTCTTTTATTCTGTGTTTTATCAGCGTCTTCTTACATGGCAGAGCACCAGGACCATAGAGCTGAATAATATCAAATGCATTTATTTTTACCTTCTTGAGGAATAAAAACTGGAAATCTCCAGCTACTTGCCAGAAGCTGCAAAAGGAAATTGCAAGATTCAACATATAGACAAAATATAGTCCTACATTCAGCTACTTGAAATTTATAAATACTTTGTGTATTATTTCCTAAATCAAATAACAGCTGGGTCTGTTAATGTAAAACAAAAATTAACAGGATGAGTTTAATTACATAATCTAGTAACATAACACACATAACAGTAAATTCACACAAGTGAAAAATGTTAAAAATTCTTAATGACAGGTTAATTTGGTGAGACGTGGAGAATTGGAGAGGGAACCAAAATGCAGGACGTCCGAGGCAGACAGATTACACAAAAAGGGAGCTGCTTATTTAGGCTGAACTAAAAGTCCAAAAAACACAAACGTCTACAAGGAAAAATCAAACGCTATCCATATGCTGGCAGGGAACGCACAGGGGATATAACCAGAGAGCTCCACAAAGAACGGCAGGTGAAGAACAGAGTTTATACACACAGAAGGTTGATTAGGGAGGAGACACAGGAAGGTAACAATTAGGAAATCGAGGGAAGACAGACAGGAAGTAAAACTGACATACGTCTTATACCTAAATACTAAAAATTTCAGTGCAATTATGAGACAGGGAAATACAAAGGGATTAGAGGAGACGGGGGGAGGACTAAGACAACAATCTGTACCAGAAAACCTATAAAATTAACTTGTCCCTAGAAAAACAAATTCAACACACAGTAGAATAAGAAGGAATTAAAATGGCGTTCTAAACTCCAAGTACTAGCACAGAAAACCTAAGCAAGAAGTCAGACTTGAACATGTTCAATCAAAGTTTGAAACAAAAATAAAGAAAAAGAGCGCTTCACACTGAATAAAGATGAAGATAGAAAGTCTAACCAGTCAGCTAGAAAGTCAAAAAAAGAGAGAATGGAAAAGGAGAAAAAGAGAATAGCCACACCATAAACCAGAATGCAAAACTCAGAGAGCAGCCTAAAACATAATACAATAGGACAAATGGGAAGGAAAATGGTACAAAAATACACTCTTTAAGTGAATAGAATTCAAAAGTTATGAGAACAAAACTCAAAACAAAACTGTGGCAAAAGACCATCACATTCATATTATTAAATTATTGATACACCGTGTACCTGAGGCCAATAGGTAGACAAACCTGCTGCTACACAACAGAACTAAAAAATAATAGAACTGGAGTCATGTTTGTTTTAGTAAATGTGCTGATTGTTTTCACGAGTTAAGAATTCCTGCATATTTATCTACCTGCATATTTGCCAAAGTATGCATATAAAAGTTCTTTGGAACAAGAGTATTCACTCTGCTTTTGTTGTTTGTGTCAACTGAGTCAACGTGGTGAGTCAGATTTCACTTCAGCAAAATTAATGTTTGAATAAACAGTAAAGCGTAGCTAAGGTGCTGTACACAACGTAGGGCAAAGACTAGATCAGGGTCCGTGTTTACTTGCAGAAGTAACAATCAAAATGTGCTCATTATCCAGCACATTATGATTTTGTTTTCTTGCTGATCACACTGTGATAGTCATCACTGGCAGGGGCTTGAGATTTAAACTAGGAGATCATCATAAAACCCTAGCGTAGCCATGGCCAGGCCATGGCCATTGCATTTTTCATTGGCACTATAACTGTTTCCAGTTATAGCCAGTCAACTCATGATGATAATGTATGCCCATCATAACTTTTGTGCCAAGGCTATGTGGCTGAAAGTGCTACAAAGAGACACAAAGACTTTTCTATTTCTCCGTGCACAGTAGAGTATTATACTGATGAAAGAGACGACTCTAAGCCAGTGAAAAACAGCATTCAATACTCCTTTTAACCTGGAGCGTAGTTGTGAATGGCTCCAATGTAGATTAGTATAATGTTGCACAGTTAATTAAGAGGAAAAATTAAGGTAATTTGTCATGGAATTATACAGTGCAATTCTTATGATTAGATATTATTTGTATTTTACTGCATAGTTTATAAACGACCCTCTTCCAGTATGGCTGTTGTTATTTACTTATTTGTTTGTTTTTTTAAATGAGAGCTCTTGTGCACAAGCTGCTGCTTTCTTCAGACTAACTTTACACTTGAACTATCTTTAGATGATGCAGTCCCCTTTATTTTATTGTCTGAACCATCAAATGATGCTGATGCATTTAAACTGGAACACTTGGAGGGGTGAACCCTCCCCCCACAATATAATTGTTGCACAAGCAAAAATAGAACAAAACTGTTCCATCTTAGGAAGGAATAAAAATTAGAAGTCTTTTATCATTCCATGTAAATACATTTCTGATAATGGCTGTGAGAACAGATTAGATCAATTAGGAGGAAGCATCTGGAGCTGATGTTAAGTGCATGCACAAAGATAGATTATCAGAGCTGGGCAGTTTTACCTCTCCGTCCCTGTTTTACTTTGTTGCTGTCTCACTGTCTTAGCTCCTCAAATCCCCTCACTAACACTCTCAGAAAATGATGCCTTGTAAATCTGTCATGAGGAGGATTATTTGGGAGTGTTGCTACACCGACTCGCCCTCCTCCCAACCTCAATTAGGGCCAAACAGACAGGCAGACGCAGCCCTTCTCACCTCCCTTCCATTCTCACTAGTGAGATCCCAGCATCCCCTCAATAAAAAAAGCGTTTCTGCAATCATTCCTTCCATTTTGACTTGTCTGCACAGGAGACCTACGCAGGCCATTGAAGTGCCCCTTTTTTCTCTGTGACTCACCGTGCAGAGTGGGGGTAAACACATGCTCCTCAACCTTTCTTTTCTCTCATTTTTTACTTCTTCACATTTCCTCATGCTTCCGTTTTCCACCCACGTCTTATCCCCAAATAAGATCTCTTCAGCTTGATGGATGTAAGGCTTGAAATAAATGAAATAATGTAGGGGAAAATGGGGGTTTTATGACTCAGTGTTTTCTCTCCCTGATTCAAATTAGTCTCTGATTCAGAGTAGTTTTTTTTTTTTTAGGGAGAGAAGGGGACAAAGTGAAGCACACGGGGATAGCTGCCAAGGGAGATGAGGCAAAGATAGGTACAGCTGGGGTAAAAACCGATGTGCAAAAATAATCTTCATTGGAAGAAATGCATAATAGATGCTGCAGCAGTGAGAGAAAAGCATAAATATAGATCTAGTGTCAAACTAGCTTCCTATTCCCCCTTTCCTTCTCATTAAGACATGCCTTGTATTTGTTATTTGAAGTCTTCTGAAGTGAGATGTGCAAACCTGTGACTCACACAGAGACGGACTGACTGGCAGACTGGTTAGAGCACAGATCAGAGCACAGCGCGCCTATGATAATATGACATTTTACTGATCTTTGTAAAAAATTTGTCTTTCACTTGCTCCTGTAGGGACATCAGAGGTCAACTAGAGAGCA